AGTATGATTATAAAATTTTACTTTGGATCCTAATTTTTATGTGAACGCTTTCTAGCGTAATCATTAACAGAACGTCACAGCACATGAATAATACAAAGAAGGCAAAAGAGTATAAACGCGTTCCATAAAAATTAAGGTGCATTATCCAACATGGAAGGACTGTGCTGTACAGGACGGGTCATGAAGTATTGATTGTGTGTGTAATATAATAGAAATATAAAACAAGCGAACAATTTTACAAATGCATTATCCCGATAGGGAGCTGTTACCAAGTTGGTGTTATGTTTCATAACAATTCTTCATGTTTTCTGCAATTATTCTTCGTATGTCAAGTAAAACCACGCTCACGTTCCACCACCGACAAAAAGATATCCATTAAAAATATATTAAACTCTCATTTTTATTCAAATTCGCGCAAAATATTCGAAAAAACACAACCGACTCATATAAACCAACCAACAAGCAGCAAACGTTAACAGTTAAAACACTGGACGATGTGAATAACGGTAAGTTAGTCTTAACTGTTGGCAGATAATAAATCACGTTCAAATAAGCGTGCGTTTATATTCAACATTTAAAATAGAAACGCGGGAAGACGAGGTAAGCCCCAGAAGCGAAACAATTATTAAAATCGAGCTTACCACAAGTTTGTCTTTCCCCAGTGCTGATTCGACCGATATTTCTTGTCATTTCCACATTTACTATGTAACAGATATATTTCTATTTGAAATAGCACGAAGCTTACAGTCTAAATTATATGAGCAATAATTTCGGTGAATGTCTGACACTGCGATATTCTGCCGTCAAATGTACAGTAACACCTACGCGTGTATCTTTTACCAGTGGCTCCAAAACATTATAAGTACAAAAACCTCTTTCCAGAAAGACACGCGAAATCCTCTTCGCCCGTTTTATTCTATTTTATTCCGCAAAGAATTTACCCCTCTTTTGAAACATCCACTTCACCTCTTAGTAGCTAGAACCTTTACACAAAGTGTCACAAAGTATTTTCTTTCTGAAAGGAAATGAAACCAGTTATCATTATTTGTTTCAGTAAATTTTCCTTTATCTTCCCATGCCAAGTACGAGATCTCATTTTGACATACCTACCATGTCTGTTTAAAAATATATTTCGCCCTCTTTCTTTGACAATTCGAGTCGTAATTTTATTTCCCTACTGCGCTGTTATACAGTGTCACGTCTGTAAGAGAACTCTATTTTTTTTTTGACAAAATACGGAAATATATGGAGAGGGAATAGGTGTTGCAAATCACGTGTTTCCAATCTCAAGTGCTGGAATTTCTTACCCAGGACAAGCTGTTACGACGGTACACTCTTTACATTATCAACAGTAAAACGTTACGGTGACATTGACATGACAACGAAAAGGAGGTGTGTTTCCAGGGCAGAATAAACGGTAGAGAAAGGAACACAGATATTAAAGAAACCCCGAAGCGATCAAAACCAGGAAACAGCAACAACTAGCAAACTCTCATGTCAACGTGGTAACATCGTAATCTTCTTCCGTATTCTTTTTCTTTTCCAAATAACTTCCCCTACAGCGCACATCTTATACGACTAACTGTATAGGCCAACATACATACGTATATTCCACCAAATGATTAATTTCTCATAAATAAAATTAAAGATTTCGTTTGTCTTTTCTTTTGGGGCGAACACCGCAGAGGTTCACGAACTATAATTTTGTAACCACTGAATATCAAATTAAGACCGTTATGCATCGCGTTGAAAGCTTGGTTAATCAAAAATCCTACGTAATAATTCTATAAATACCACTACATAAAGTTTAGTCATACACTAAAGATATTACGAAAACTTCATTACAATTACATCTAAAGCGAATTGAATTTCTTATGCACCTCAAATTCCACATTCACTTGTGATTCAAGGTGTTTTAGCTCTGGTTGCTTGTCTGGAATATCCCGACGAATTGATATCTCCGTTACAGAATA